TGAAGGCGACTTCGAGCTGGTATCCCGAAGTCGATGTGGCTCGTCAGGCGCAGACAACAGCCGACGGATGCACAGCAATGCAAGTCGGGCCAATCGTCTGCGCGCACCTGTGAGCGTGCGCACTGCTGTCTTCTACGGGGCAACGCTGGACAGCCGCCCTGCTGCAGCGTTGGCACGCCGTCGACCAGCTCTACTGGCAGGTCGCCTTTCTGCAGTCCTGGCGTGGCTCCTCTACGCAACGCTGGCACGCGGTCGACCATGCAGTGCTGGCGGTCGACCAGGCTAGCTGCAGAGTTGCTAGGTGCCTGATGTAGTCAGTTCTGTCATTGCTTGATCATTTATTCTGTAGTTTCCAACTTTGCTAGTGAAAACTCTTGCCGATTTCTCCCATGAATGTGCAAGCACTAAGGAACTAAGCAAAGCTACGATCACTCCTAATAGATCGTGCCAACCCATGTAGTCTAGCTCACTACCGTTGTAGAGTGACTCTCCGCAACGTCACTGTGGCGAACAATACTCGCCTGTGCGCAAGCGCGCAAGGAATCGTCGTGCTCAAGGCACGTGGAAGCTGCACACACATCACGCTGAATAATGTGCTCATAGTCCAGAACCTACGCTTTAATCTTCTCTCAGCAGCTCAACTCATGAATTGAGAAAGCTTGCTTCTGTAGCAATTGGCATCGTTCTCATTACAATGGGTTCAAGTACAACAGTTCCTAGCAGTTATACTAATATACTATCACATCCAAAATGTCTAAGAACTACTACTCTCATAAGATGACTAGCCTGGGGAGGGTGGGTGGGAATTGAACTTGAGCGATTGTAAAATGAGAGACGTGGGTGGGGGAAGAATGACCCCAGCCCACATTATATATTCGGAGAAGGCGAATACCGCGCTTCGACGATGCACAAAATTGCGTTACAGTCAGCTTCGCTTTCACAATACGCAAATTTGAAAGCGATAAAACGCTTAAAATTTTTTTTTTTATATTGCGGTGTCGAACTAAGCACGGATCCTCAAACGCGCGACATCCTGCTTCACTACTCGTCGCTGACAAAGACACGAAGGTAGATCGGACGAGCACATTCCGAGAATGAAGTGTACACCCTCGACTTCGTTATTTCCGACTGCTGTGGTGACTCGCCGATCACGCAGCGGATCCCGACAATCGACAGTCCAGGACTGGGTTCTTGTTTCGCCTTGAGCCAACAGAAGCAATCTCGCGGAAGGCGAAAATACCAGGCTGCCATCGACCGAAGCTGAATTTATCACCAGCAGGAACTTCTGCAAGAGGCGAAAATACCAGCCTCGCCAACTTTTCGCATGCACTACGACAACCAGAGCGCGATCCGAATCGCAACAAGCCCGAATTCGTCAATCGCATCAAACACATCGCGTTGCGGTACTTCTTCGTAAAGGACGAAGTGGACAAAGGGAAGGTGGACTTGGCCTACTGCCCAACAGGTGACATGGCAGCTGACTTGTTGACGAAGCGACTGTCACGTCAACAGTACCAGCACTACTCTGAACTCAGCGGGGTAGTCAAGCGGGTCAAGTCGAGCTACGGCCAAGAGTGAAGGGGGGTGTTACGAGAAGTAAACAGAGAAAGAACACTTTGGACTCCTGACAGCAGCGAACGAAGCATACAGTATCGAAGCTGGAGACGAAGAGTCAGAGATGACTTGAAGCGACGCAGACAGTTGGAGTGCATCTGGACCGCCGAAGCAGACGACGTCGAGCAGCTGCAGGAGCGAAGGAATTGGCGCGAACAGTTCCGTAATTGTACGCGCGGCACGGTTGGGTTTGAATCTGAATAAGAAAATGTACCCCTTAGAGTACATGGCTAGCTAGGACAATGGGTATTCTCTTGTATTACTACTTACATGCTTGTATCTGCATGTTTCATTTATCTCACTCATTTTACATTCACGCTAATATGAGGTATGAATCTTCCGCAACCTTCATGAGGTGATCCTGTTTACGGTCTAATTTTTTATCGCCGTAGTAACAATTAGAGACCCGACTTAGCATGCACTCGCTGAAATGTGTCAGAATCCCCGACACTAACCACTGGGATAAACGGGCTTGTTTGTGTAGTGGGTGAATGCTCACATAACCTCCCAGGCCGACATGCCTCTAACCCTTCCTTTGGACCAATCGGGGATCTCCAGTGCACCTCTAACACCCCCCCGCATTAGGATGCCCTAGGTGCACATTGAGATTCAATCATGGGATCTTTGCTCTGATACCATGTCAGAATCATAACCACTAACCACTTGGATAAAATGGCTTGTTTGTGTAGCGGGTGAGTGCGCCCATAACATTCCAGACCAACGTGCCTGTAACCCTTTGTCAGAATCCCAGCCACTAACCACTGGGATAAAAGGGCTTGTTTAAGTAGCGGGTGAGTGCGCCCATAACCCCCCAGGCCGACGTGCCTGTAACCCTTCCCTAGGATCATCGGGGATCTCCAGTGGACCTCTGACACCCCCCCGCACTGGGATGCCCGAAGTGCACACACCGGGAATCGAACCCGAGACCTTCGCTCTGATACCATGTCAGAATCCCAGTCACTAACCACTGGGATAAAAGGGCTTGTTTTTATAGCGGGTGAGTGCGCCCATAACCCCCCAGGCCGACATGCCTGTAACCCTTCCCTAGGATCATCGGGGATCTCCAGTGGACCTCTGACACCCCCCCCGCACTGGGATGCCCGAAGTGCATACACCGGGATTCGAACCCGAGACCTTCGCTCTGATACCATGTCAGAATCCCAGCCACTAACCACTGGGATAAAAGGGCTTGTTTAAGTAGCGGGTGAGTGCGCCCATAACCCCCCAGGCCGACGTGCTTGTAACCCTTCCCTAGGATCATCGGGGATCTCCAGTGGACCTCTGACACCCTTTCCTAGGATCAATCGGGGATCTGTAATACACCTCTGACACCCCCCTCGCACTAGGATGCCTTAGGTGAACACATGAACGCATTATGTCATAGGTGCACTGGAGATCACGGATTGATTTTAGGTGCGTTTGCTTACAGGTGCGTTTGCTTGGGGGGCTATGGGCGCACTCACCCGCTACACAAACAAGCCTTTTTATCCCAGTGGTATTAGGCTAGGAAAGAGGCATAATACCAGAGCGAAGGTTTCAGGTTCGACGAACACTGATAAGTTGGAACTGGCGAAAAGACGCTTGGTGTTTTACGCGTTGCTGGAGGTGCGTAGTAAGGACACTACCCCCTAAGAAGCCCCTACGCTAAGTGAGTGCGCATATATCGCGTAATTCCCGCCTTCGTAGGTACAGTTGGAGGACAAGGTGGTTATAAGGGCATCTGGCTCTCTTCTGTTTGGGTGCAATAATTTCAACGAACGGAGAAGAAAGTATTTCGAGATCTCTTCGGGTATTGGATTGGATGGCTCAAGATTTTTCCCATCTTCGACAACCGGTCCTAATACAGGACGTGCCATTAATGGTGGTCGGTGTTGTTGACGGGAATGAAGTGTTGGCCCCGCCCCCGCTTGGGAGACACTGACTTCCTGGTTGGGCGCGCGAGTGGTTCGACCGACTGTTCTGCAGGGTTCTACGCGTGTTGGCCGACGATGTTGTCGACCTGCGGGCGTCTGCTGCAATGCCACCGCCGACGGGAAGTCGGCGGCCTAGTTTGACAGGGGAGGTCGACGAAGCAGTTCGTCGACCTGCGCGAGAGTCTTGAGCAGCCGTCGAAAGTGGGAGTTCACCGGCAGCGACGACCGAGTTGGTCGATGGAAGGGTCTGTCGACCAGGGTGATGTTCGACGTGCGCGGTGGTCGACGAAGGAGGTCCTCGACCAGTGCGTGTACTTGGTAGTCAACCCAATCGACCAGGTAACGTGCTCGACGAGGTTTTGCGTGGGCCCGCGAACGTCGCCGAGGCTGCGATTGCGAAGACGACCTCAGGCTGGTATTTTGAGTCGGACCTGCTTCTCCTCGACTAGTGCGCAACGAAGGCACCGTAGATAAGGTGGTCACACACACCCACTTTGGTTGACACCCCATCGTTCGAAGACTTTTGCCAATACCATTTTTTGTTCAACTTTCTGCACTTTTGCCATTCTGACTTCGAGTGACGAAGGATGTTATGAATGAGCTTGCAGAGTGCGCAGAATAACGAATAACGAGAATGGTTGACAATACAATGAGAATGGCACGACTAAATAGGGGAAAAGCTAGCTAGGCGAAGAGGTAGGGCGAAGATGGCTCGGTGATGGTTGCGATTGGTGCGGATTCGACTGGGGAGTGGTTCGGTGCGACGAAATAGGCCGAACAGGTTCGTCGCGTGACCCTCGCTAAAGTTTGAGTAGAGTAGGAATTAAAATTCCTTGCAAAGGACATCCGCTGATGGCCTAGAAAATGAAAAAGATTCTCCAACCCATACCTCCAGGCCAAACCTCCCTCATCATCCATCCACCCTGCCTCTTCGCTTCCCAATCAACCCAATCACTCCAACCCAATCATCCCTCCCACACGGTACTGTACGGTATGGGGTCTGGAATCTGGCCTCGACGCTCCTCTTCCCCTCCCGATCTGGCGACCCAACGCAACACATCCAAACCAAGCCCTGCAAATTGTAGCTGCCATAACGTGCTTCATTCATAGCCCTGCAAGCAGATGTTTGCTGCGGCCTAGGCACCCGACACGACACCCGTCCTCTCCCCGTGTCGCCAGTTAGCTTCATGCGACGGCTGAATTCGCTACTGTAGGGCCTACTGTGTCAGTGCCGGGTGCAAGCATCGACCAGCGCATTAGGCGGCCACAGCCCGTTTCCTGAGAGGGTGTAAAAGATAGACGTGAGTCGGGACAGGACTCTAACACCCCACCTGTAGAGACTAAACTAATTTCTCGAAACCTTGCCGCCTGGTGATAACGAGTCCTCTTTATTTTTTCCATTATCATTAATAACTGCGATTATCATGTAGCTGCTTCTGCTCGCCTTAATTATACGAAATTAACTACCCTTACATGGACAACAAGTGCAATAACTGCGCCATGATTCCTCGGCGGGGGTTTTGGCCTGGATTTCGTTTCTAATACTTCCTTCCGCCTGAAATACCGAATTCAGCGCAGCTGCCACTCTTCTTTCAAAGGTGTATCGGACCGCGTTTGATTGTCGAATCAGAAGCCATCATTCCCAAGGCGAGTAATTCTCGGACATAACCTACCCCGCAGGTACTACCTACGCTGTCGCTGCGCTCCACTCTAACTCCGGCGGACCTTACCTACCCCGCAACAGCCACCCCGCAACAGCCACCCCGCAACAGCCACCCCGCAACAGCCACCCCGCAACAGCCACCCCGCAACAGCCGCCCCGCAACAGCCACCCCGCAACAGCCGCCCCGCAACAGCCTCCCCGCAACAGCCTCCTCGTCCACCCGCCGCTCCACGCCGCGACGAGCGCAACCCCTTCAAAGACGTGTCAAAGGTCGCCGCGGCGAGCGCAGCCACTCTCTCGGGGCGCGCGAGAACCGGCCGCGGCGAGCGGCGAGCGGCGGGTGGCGCCATGGGGTCCATTCTGGAGGAGCACAACGTGCGGCTGCTGGGCTCTCCAGACTCGGCGTCCGACCTCGTGGTCCTAGGCCACGGGTTCGGAACAGACCAGTCCGTGTGGCAGCACATCGTCCCGCACTTGCTGGACGACGATTACCGCTTATTGCTCTTGGATCTCATGGGCGCGGGGTCGACGAATCCGGATAACTTCTCCTTCGCGCGCTATTCGTCGCTGCACGGGTACGCGGACGATCTGCTGGCGATTCTGGAGGAGGTGGGCGCGCAGCAGTGCACGTACGTGGGGCATAGCGTGTCCGGCATGATCGGGTGCATTGCGGCCATTGCGCGCCCCGAGGCGTTCAAGAAGATCGTGCTCATCGGCGCGTCGCCCAGGTGCGGGGGGGGGGGGGGGGGTGGAGAGGGTAAGGAGGTGGGGAAGGAGAAAGGGTGTGGGCGGGGAGTGGGGGGGGAAGCGGGGACATGGGGGAGGAAGGCTTTGAGGGAAGGATGGAGGGGAGGGGATGGGCGGGAGGAGGTGGGTGAGGGAGGAATACACTACGAGGGAGTATGAGTGGAGATTGGTGGGAGTTGGTGAGAGCTGCTTGAAGCGTACTGGACTATTTTCTTGCCACGCATAAGTCAGAACTTTCCGTCCCTCTCTCCCTTCCTTCCGGTCCTGTCCCTTTATCTGCGCCTCATACCCTAGTGTTCCTCTCCCCTCTTGTACTATCAAATTCCTTGTCACACCTTCCAAATCCCGAATCCCGCTCCTCTCCCCTCCCCCTCCCTAGTGTTTCAAATTCCTAGTGTTTCTCTCCTCTCCTTCCATCCGCTCCCCTCCCTTCCCCTTCCGTTCCCTCCCCCCCTCCCCTCCCCTCCCCTCCCCTCCCCTCCCCTCCCCTCCCCTCCCCTCCTCTCCTCTCCCCTCACCGTCCCTCCCCTCACCTCCCATTTGCCCGTCAATCATACGTGCCTACCCCACTCCCCGCTTTCTACGCTCCACCTTCTCCCCGTCCACAACCCCCACAAGTCCCCCTTCCTCTTTCCCCACAACTCCCACTCGCCCCCACCCAACCACCCCTCCTTCCATCTGATACCTGTTCGACGTGAACCACCTTTCCCAATTCCCTTCTGGAAAGCCTCAACACCTCAATACCTGCCTCCCCTCCTTTCCCTCCATCATCTCCCCCTCCCCCTCTCCCGCTCCCTCCTCTCCCTCCTCCCCCCCAGGTACCTGAACTGAACGAGGTCGACTACTCGGGAGGATTCGAGCAGGAGGGCCTGAACCAGCTGTTTGCCGCCATGCACAGACTCTCTCTCTCCCCGTATCCTTCCCCCTTCCTCTCCTGGCGCCCCCCTCCCCCACTCCTCCCCCCTTTGTTACTCCCCTTCCGCCCCGTCTTTCCCCCTCCCCCCTCCTCCCTCTCACCAGGTACCTGAACGATGTGGACTACTTTGGGGGATTCGAGCAGGAGGATCTCAACCAGCTGTTCGCCGCCATGCACTCCAACTTCCGTGCGTGGGTATCCGGCTTTGCACCGCTAGCGGTGGGCGCGGACATCAACAGCGCGGCGGTGCAGGAGTTCAGCCGCACCTTCTTCTGCATCCGCCCCGACATCGCACTCTCCGTCTCCAAGACCATCTTTCAGTCCGACATGCGCTCAATTCTCCCACAGGTGAGCAGAGGGGCGGGGAGAGGGTTGGCAGGCAGCGGGTGGAAGCGGCTCTACTGGTCGAGTGCAGTCGAGGTGGGGAGGAGCGGGTGTGCGCTCAGGAGGCCGTGAGTGCGTGGCGCACGGGCGCGCATCGCACGCGCCCGCTGTGAAGAAGTTGCTGCCTTGAAGCCGCACCTTCTTCTGCATCCGCCCCGACATCGCACTCTCCGTCTCTAAGACCATCTTCCAATCCGACATGCGCTCCATCCTGCCCCAGGTGCCACCTCCCTCCCTCCCTCCCTCCCTCCCTCCCTCCCTCCCTCCCTCCCTCCCTCCCTCCCTCCCTCCCTCCCTCCCTCCCTCCCTCCCTCCCTCCCTCCCTCCCTCCCTCCCTCCCTCCCTCCCTCCCTCCCTCCCTCCTCCTTCCCGCACTCTCTCCTGCTCTCCTGGTTGCCTGCTCCACTGCCCACATCTGCGCTCAATCGTCCCAAACCTTCCTCCCGTTCTCCCTTCCTCCGTCCTCCTCCTTTTCCACCTCTCCAGGTTCCATCCTTCCCCACGCCCCCCTCCCCCAGCTGGTTTTGTTTGTTTGTTTGTTTGTTTTTTGAGGGGAGGGAAGGGGGAGGGGGAGGGGATTGTAAGCTCGACTCAGAAGTCCCCTTACAACTCATCCCTCCCCCTCCACCTTCCACCACACCCTCCAGTTAAACACCCCTGCCACACCCTGCAGTCGAGCTAGTCCTGCCGAGGCCTTCAGTTTCTAGTCAGAATTCACCTCTACTTGTTTCATCCCCCCATCTCCCTCCTTCCACACACCCACCCACCCCCCAGGTAAACTCCCTCCCTCTACAACATACTGCTCTCGAGCCAGGATCTGGCAGTGCCGGTGCCAGGCCTTCAGGCTCCATATCCCATCCCCCCCTTCTCTCTCCCCTCCGTCAAAATCTTCCCCCCCAGGTGAAGGTCCCCTGTCACATACTGCAGTCGAGCCAGGACCTGGCAGTGCCGGTGGCAGTGGCAGAGTACATGCACGCGCACCTGGGTGGCAAGAGCGTCGTCGAGATCTTCCCCACACACGGCCACCTGCCACAGCTCTCCGCTCCGCACATCGTCATCCCCGTGCTGCGCCGCCACCTGCGCGGCAACCTGTAGGGGGCGGGAAGGTGGAGGGATGTGATGTGACTTGCTTGTGCGTTGACTCACAAGTCACCTCGTGTTCAGACAAGAGAGCTGCAGGGCTGAGAATTCTCAAAAACAGGTTTATGAGAATTCTCAGTGCTCGTGGTGAGAGGGAAGCACGTGCAGTGTTCCACCACCTGCCGCTGCTCCCCCCGCCGCACATCGTCATCCCCGTGCTCCGACGCCACCTGCAAGGCAGCCTGTAGCCTGTAGCTCTCTCCAGGGAGGGGAGGAGAGAGGGAGGAGGGACGTGATGTGACCTGCCTGGTGCGTCAACGTTTGAGAACTCTTGAAAGTGGTGCAGTCAGAGGCCACTTGTGAGGAGATGACGCTGAGTTGCCGACTCAAAAGTCAACCCGTGTTCAGACGCTGTCTGGAGCCCACCCCCACGGCTGGGACAGAAGGCGTGGGGGAGGGGAGGTAAGGGGGCAGCTGTGGCAGGGCGGATGGGACCAGCTGTAGAGGAGGGAAGGGAAGTGGGGTAGACGTATCTGTAGCCTTAGCGTGATAAAATGTTAGTGGAGGGTTGATATGGTAGCTGTAGTCGTGACAGACGTTTCCAGCACGTGGCACCATAGGGCAACGGGTTACAGGACTAGGGGAGGAGAGGGAAGGCGGAAGGCGGGGAAGCGGTGGAAGGAGGGGGTGCGGGGACATGGAGAGGAGCACCGGTAGTTCTTGGGGTGGCATTGTGGCAGCCCTAAACCGTGGCCACCATGACGTTCACCTTTCTTCTTGTGCATGGTGCATGCGTGAATACAAGATGCACTCTGTTTGTACCATTCTTGCCTGACTAACATGGTCCATGGAACCCATGAGTCCTGACCCGTGATCTGTAGTGCAGGGAGGGAGATCTAGGGGCCATGTGATGGGAATGCTGGCAGGAAATGGAAACCCGTGGCATGGCTGGTTGGGCTGACCTTTGACTTTCGCGTAACCTCCAACAGTTACTTTCAACCTCCGAGGGTTGACTCGCCAGTGCTTCGGTATGCTTCGCTTCACTTTTGCCTTAGTGTTTCGACACGACAGAGGCGCTTAAGATTCATTGTTTCCAACAAACAGCACCCATGTCCATATATAGGGGGGATGAATGGAAATGAATACAATCCAAAGAGATGACGGTGGCTCAAGAGTCAGGATGCACGTGACGTGACTGCATTCCATTGCTATGGTGCTCCTGAGCTGTATAGTTGCGTAGTGCAGCAGAATCCTGGTTGCACCAGCCCATCACAACAAGGTTCCTGCCTTGTAGCCTCAACACGGACGGCATGTCAGTGCCAGACCGGTACTTACTCACGACGGAGCACAAGGAGTGGGTGGACAATGTCGGCATTCACATTCTCGCGGTAAAGGCGTTCCAGGCTGCTAACCCCAAAAACGTCGAGCAGTCGAAAGCCTGCGATGAGCAGCGGCATGCGAATGGGCCCGTATATGCGGTGGGCGTTAAAGACCAGAGTGTCGTTACCGGTTGGCACGCCCAGGAACAGCAGCCCTCCTGGCTTTATCAGCCCCTTGATCTGTTGGGGAAGGCAGGGGTGGTGTGGGACAAGGGTGTCCATAAGTCGCGATGGGACGGCGAGGACATGCTTAGTGCGGATGCCTGGCAGCATTTCCTCCTTGCTGCTCGTGTACTAAACCGATAAATGCGGGCCATTCTGTGCCTCTGCACCCCACCTTGTGCGAAAACCACCTTGTTCCACCGCACCCCACCTTGCTCCACAGCAGCCTCACCTTGGGCGTCCCCCACCCACCTGCTCCGCTACAGCCCACATTGCACTGCCCCAGCCCAACTTCTGTCACCACAACCCACCTCGTGCTGCCACAGCCCACCTTGCCCACCACAGCTCACCTTCTTCATGCGCTCACCCTCTTCATGCGTTCTTCATCTCACCTTCATGCGCTCACCTTCTTCATGCGCTCACCTTCTTCATGCGTTCTTCATCTCACCTTCATGCGCTTACCTTCTTCATGCGTTCGAGGTCGCCGTTGGGGTTGATGGGGTCGCCGTAGCGGCCGAGCCCATCATGCTCGAGCGAGGAGAAGGAGACAGCCACGTCCCACGTCTCGCTGCTGCCCTCCAGCTCGCCCACCGCCAGCTGCCGCAGCTGAGGGTGGGACGCCACGGGGCGGTTGAAGTCAACGGTGGTGATGGCGGTGGCGTCAAAGCCCAGGCAGATGGCCTCCACCCACGGCCACTGGCTGCCGATGATCAGCACCTTCTTTCCACCCAGCGGGTACTTCTCAAACGCCGAGTAGAACGAAGCAGTCACGTTCGGCCCGTACGACCCGAAGCCGGGGTCGCGGCGGCGGGCCATGGCGGCCTGCTTGTCAATGCGGTCAGTGGACCACACGTACGCATTGGCGCCCGAGTCTACTGCGTCCTTGTTCCGAAACTGGTTGATCACCTGCCGGTGGGAGGGCAAGGGAAAGTGTTTACTGGTTGTTCAGAGCACAGGTGGTGCTATGCCGTGTGTGACTGTTGCTTCGTCCCCTGTGCATTCTGCATGCCGCTAGTCGCGCGAAATGTCTGGTCAACGTGCGTGCGCGTCTGCGCTGGGTTCCGCACCCCAACTTTCCCCTCTCTGCCTGCACGCAACTCACTGCCCTCACTGCCCTCACTGCCCGCTCTGCACTCCATTTTCAGCCACCCGGCCCCACTGGCCGTGTGTGTGTGCGCTCTTCTCCCCGAGTGCCGGCCTCACGCGTGATATGTGCGCACCTGCACGCGGCCGTCCAACGTGAACTGATCCTGCACGGTCTCGCGGATCCACTCCCACGGCACGGGCCCCGGCAGTCCGAAGTTGCTGATCAGGAACCGCGATTCCTCGCCGCTGCCCGCCCGTGCGCCCCCCAGCACTGCCACTGCGTGTGGTGGGAGCGAGGGCGCAGAGGATGGTTGCGGGGCAGAGAGGACGCAGGGAGAATGCGAACGCGACAAGGCGGCATGGGATTATTTTCGATACGAAGAGGGGGGGTGCAGGCTGGTGGATGTCCAGTCAGAGAGCGGTTTGAGGCGAGCACGCTCGGCAATCTGGTGTGAGGCACGGATGCGCGGCGGGAGCTCCAATAAATGGGCTGGCGGCAAACACGCAACCGCACGCAGCCGCACGGCACGGCGGCGGGGAACGAGGGGAGGGGAGGAGGGGGGGGAAGGGAGTGGGGGAATCTGGGATTGCATTGCTGAGCAAGATGAATCCTAAATCTGGGATCGCGAGGAATGGGGATGGAGAGATGGAGGAGGCGTGGTGACGGCAGCTTACGGAAGCCGAGGGAGTTGAAGTTGAGGGCGACGGAGATGACGAAGAGCACGACGGAAGCGGCGAGGACGGCGTAGGGTGCGGCTTTGGACCACGCGATGGGCTTCGCGCGCTCGCGCGACGATGCGCCCGACCGCCCCTGCCCGACCGCCATTCGCACTGCGCGCCCGTTACTGCACTGCTCCGAGCACTTACCGCGGCCTTACGCTGGACAACGCGCACTACAAGGGCGGGAGGAAACTTCGAGTAACGGAGGGTTCGCCAGCGTAGTGTGGGATTGGTCAAAGCAGTTTGTGGCTGTGTGTGCTTTTGTGCTGCTACTCGGTTTGTGACGACAGCTTCACCGTACAACATATTATGTCTCTTCGCCATTGTGGTATGAAAGCTTTTCATGCATGTGGACTTCAACTGACTTCATTCAAGGTCAATGGGTGATGATGATCGGCTTTTCGGCGACAAGTGAGGGTCGTACACCTGATGCCTGTTTGAGCCCCTCCCGGTTGCCTTACGAAGGGGGCGTATAAGCTGTCACGAGCATTTCGCATAAGTTTCGGCAATTCGCAGCTACAGCCGATGCTCACCCCATGCACGCGAATTTGCCTTGCGCCGGATGGATACGCTGCACCCGAGGTTGTTTCCCCAGCTTCATGCACCTACATTACAAGCGCGTCGCGTGGTTATCAACCAGTAGTAACGAACAGACCGACGTCAAACTAGGTACAGACCGAAGTCAAGCAGAGGAGACTGAAGTCAAACTAGGTTACAGATCTTGTTTATAAGCACATGCGAATCATTTTGGTTGCTGGTTCGGGTTGTCATACCTGAAGGCGATGCGAAGTACATTCGGGAGACGAGGTCATCGGACAAGTCATGGTCCGCCAAAAGTTGGGGTTGTACGCGTACGGAGTGCCCCAAAAAGGAATGAAGAAAATAACGTACACTCTCCCCCCCTCCCCCCCTTTCCCTCTCCCTCCTCCACCCCCACTACCACCCCCCCTCCTCTTTAAGAAATGTGGTGAATATTCGGAACACGTCGGGGGAAAAGGAGTGTCCTTGAAGTGAATAAAAGGCAAACCGCGTATCGTCATCGCTGGTTCGACCTGCCCATCGCAAGAGAAAGGCGATGTGGCGTCCGGTCGTCGTAAGTCACACACGGTGATTCAATATTTTCCACGGCTGAAGTGCCGGGTCTGCTACAGGTCAAACACTCGGAGCGTGATACTATGGTTGAAGTTGGATTCGAGAAAGTCCAAATGTTTGATTTATTGCAACTTGAGTTGCGGTTGAGCTCGCAGATACTGAAGTGACTTGTTATATGTATAAATCTTCACGTCAGCTCCAGTCTGTTAGAACAAATAGCTAGGAATGATTGACTATCGAGAGAGTTGGGTACAAATGTGAAAACCCTAAAAGGGTTGTACCCCATATTGGCTACCCCACTACAGCTCGCACGATATAAGCATCATAATATTTCGACACACCCCCATAGGCAAAATGGGGGAGAACAAGGGGTCACAAGACCAGTCAAGAAAAGCAAAGCAAGCTCAGGGTGGATCACAACGTCACCACACACTCCGAGCACAAGCAAAGGGCCACAAGGCCAGTTCATATGCAGAGGTATATATGGAACAGCAACAGTACAGTGATCACTACCTAGCAAGAACAAGCATGCAGGTATATATATATATATCACAGTACAAGCAAGGTCACGAAGTGAGCAAGTGAGACGAAACAGGCACAAGGCCTAACATAGTACAGAAGCGCTGATGATCACCAGATGGAAGTGCCTTGGTGAATATATCAGCAGTGTTGGCCCGGGTGGCCACGTAAGCAACACGAAGCTGACCACGCTGCTGCAACTCTCGAGCAAGGAAGTAACGCAGAGCGATGCGCTTCGTTCTGTGCTCCAGTCTGTGCTCCTGGCACAAGGCAATGGCAGCCTTGTTGTCTACGTACAGAACTGGAGGAGAACGAGGCCTCTCTCCCAAGTCGGTCAGCAGGTAGGTGAGCCAGCGTAACTCCTGTGCAGCCATGGCTGTGGCATAGATCTCAGCCTCACAACTGGAGCTGAGAACAGAATGCGGAGATTCACTCTACAACGGTAGTGAGCTAGACTACGGGGGTTGGCACAAACTACTAGGAGTGATCGTAGCTTTGCTTGGTTCCTTAGCACTTGCGCATTCACGGGAGAGATTGGCAAGAGTTTCCACTAGCAAAGTTGGAATTACAGAATGATTGAACAAGCAATGGCAGATTGACTACATCAGGCATCTAGCAACTCTGCAGCTAGCTTGGTCGACCGCCAGCACTGCATGGTCGACCGCCTGCCAGCGTTGCGTAGAGGAGCCACGCCAGCACTGCAGAAGAGCGACCTGCCAACACTGCAGGTCGACGGCGTGCCAACGCTGCAGCTGTCCAGCTGTCCAGCTGTCCAGCGTTGCCCCGTAGAAGACAGCAGTGCGCACGCTCGCAGGTGCGCGCAGACGATTGGCCCGACTTGCCTCGTTGGGCATCCGTCGGCTGTTGTCTGTGCCTGACGAGCCACATCGACTTCGGGATACCAGCCCGCAGTCGTCTACGCCATCGTGACCTCGACGACGTTCGCTTGCCTCCGCGGAACTCGTCGAGCAGGTTACCTGGTCGACCTGGACACCACCAGGTGCCTCTGGTCGACCACAGCTCCCTCTGGTCGACCACCAGGTGCCCCTGGTCGACCACAGCTCCCGTCGAGCTACCCCCTGGTCGACGGACCCCTTCCGTCGACCGGAACTATCAGCGGTTGTCGCCGAGCTCCCCTCGTCGACCGCTGCTCACTTGTCAGGTCGACGGACTGCTCCGTCGACCTCCCGGTCGAGCTGCAGGTCGACGGGATGCTCCGCAGACCTCCCCGTCGAACTGTAGGTCGACGGACTGCTCCGTCGACCTCCCGGACGGCCCACCCGTCGCCCAGGCCAGTCAGTTGCAGCTGTCGAGCTCCTTGGTCGACAACAACGCCACAGCGGTCCCCTGCAGCTCAATGTAGCCTGTTGAGCAGCTCTCCCACTGTGAACAGTCGGCTGCTATCCGCGTATATCCGACCAAGTCGTCGGCGTTGCCCAAGCGAGGGCGGGGCCAACACTCCATTCCTGCCGCGCTCACGCTTAGGACTCCAGCCCACACGGTAGTACTCTACGGAGAAAACTCGTCCCCGGCGTGCACCCCACACACAGCACGCCGTCACCGCACCAGCCGTGCAGAAGGGCACGGCACCTATTGCTGCACATCGTCATCTCCGTCGCCGACGTTGGCCAGACGCACTTGGCCGATCGCGACGGAGCACCGGTTGAAGGCCGGAAAGTGCAGCGCCTTCGTCATGAAGTCTGCCGGCTGCTCGGTGGTCGGGATGTACTTCAGCTCGAATTTCCCGCGCCTCACCATGTGCTGCAGCCAGGCATAGCGTCGCTCCATGTGCTTGAGGTTGCCCGTCAGCCCCAAGCCCTCAGCGACCGTGATTGCCGACTTGTTGTCGACGCGGAGGATGGTCGGCTTCCCAGCGTCGAGCAGCTTGAATTCCGCAAGGAGGAAGCGAAGTCGGCGTCCCTCCTTGCCAGCATCCGTGGCCGCGACGTACTCCGACTCGGTCGAGGAGAGCGTCGCGCACTTGATGCAAGAGATAGCGGCCCCTCCATAGACGAACACGTAGCCGCCCGTGCTCGTCCGGTTCTGCTTGTCACCGGCGTCGTCGGCATCCACGTAGCCGATCAGCTCCAGCGACTCTGGTCCACCGCCGAACTCCAAGGCGGTGTCGCGGGTGTCGGCGAGGTAGGCGAGGCAGCGGTCGACCTCGCGCCAATGCTGGTCGCTCCTCACCGTGAGACCGCTCCCCAGCTTGCTGCAGGCGAACGCGATGTCCGGCCTCGTCGTCGTCGCCACGAACTGCAGCGAGCCGACCTTCTGCCGGTACTCCTCCTCCTCGCGCTCCTGCGCCTCCTCGTCGTCGAACGTCAGCTCGGCGTAGGCGTCGACCGAGACCGGCGTCTTCGGGATGCGCCCGCCTTGCTCCTCGTCGATGAAGCGCCTACGCAGCTTGTCGGCGTAGTTCTGTTGGTGCAGCCACAGCTTCCTCGACGGACTGTCACGGACGATCTCCAGCCCAAGGTACTTCACCACCGGCGAGATCTCCCGCAGCTCGAAGGCGGACTCCAGCAGCTCCTTCAGCTCCTTCAGCATCGCGGTGCTGCTGCTGCTGGCGGCAGGCAGGTCGTCGAAGTAGACCAGCACCCAGCAGGTCACTCCGTCGTCGCCGGTCTTGAAGTAGAGCGCCTCGTCGACCTGGCTCTTCTTCCAACCAGCGCCCAGCAGCACACCGTCGAGAGCCCTGTACCACAGCAGCGGCGACTGCTTCAGCCCGTAAAGGCTCTTCAGCAGCTTACACACCCGGCCGGTCCCATCGTCGAAGTAGTCCAGATGGTACATGTAGAGCACCCTATCGAGCTTGCTCTGCAAGAAAGCGTTCTTCATGTCGAGCTGCATCAGGTTGAGGTCAAGGACGGCGACGATGCTGAGGAAGATCCTCAGCGTGACGTAGCTGCTCACCGGCGAGTACGTCTCGTCGTAGTCGGCGCCGTACACCTGCGTGAAGCCCTTCACGACCAGTCTCGCCTTCTCGCGCTCGACGGTGTCGTCGATGCGGTACTTGGTCGTCAGCACCCACCGGTTCTTCATGATATTCACTCCGCGTGGGCGTTCGACCAGCTCCCAAGTGCCCATGCCGATGAGGCTGCGGATCTCTTCTTCCATGGCGGCCTTCACCGCCGGACCCTTCCAGCTCGCCAGCGCCTCCTTCACCGTCATCGTCGAGATGTTCCAGCGTTGTTCGGGGTCGGCATGCACGTCGGGGTCGAGCTCCGGCAGGTCTTCATCCTCCTCGGCGTCGTCGTACAACAGGTCGTCGTCGACCTCGTCGTACACCGTGGTGAAGGCAGCTGGTGGCAGGCAGGCGTGGTAGCTCAGCTTCTCCGGCGGCCGTCGAGCTCGACCAGACCGTCGCAGCTCCGGCGCAGGCTTCTCGACCGGAACCTCCACCACGTCACTGTCGGTGGACTCCTCTCCCGCCGACAGCTCCCCTTCCTCGTCGACGTTCACATCGTCGACCAGCTGGTTCGAATCTTCGAC